AAAAATATTTAGTATGAATTATTGCCCTTGTTCTTGAAAACACGTTCAATTTTTAGCTCGTAATCACTCTAGAAGGCACAATTCTTGACAGATTTTGACGAAACTTGGTATGAGTGTTCGATATCACCCAAGGATAGACCCTATTGAAAATCAGCGAAATCAAAAAATATTTAGTATGAATTATTGCCCTTGTTCTTGAAAACACGTTCAATTTTTAGCTCGTAATCACTCTACAGGGCACAATTCTTGATGGATTTTAACGAAACTTTGTATGAGTGTTTGTTATCACCCAAGGATAAACCCTATTGAAAATCAGCGAAATCGAAAAATATTTAGTATGAATTATTGCCCTTGTTCTTGCAAACCGTTCAATTTTTAGCTCGTAAACACTCTACAGGGCACAATTCTTGAAGGATTTTAATGGAACTTGTTATGAGTGTTCGTAATCACCCAAGGATAAACCCTATTGAAAATCAGCGAAATCAAAAAATATTTAGTATGAATTATTGCCCTTGTTCTTGAAAACACGTTCAATTTTTAGCTCGTAATCACTCTACAGGGCACAATTCTTGATGGATTTTAGCGAAACTTCGTATGAGTGTTTGTAAACACCCAAGGATAAACCCTATTGAAAATCAGCGAAATCGAAAAATATTTAGTATGAATTATTGCCCTTGTTCTTGCAAACCCTTTCAATTTTTAGCTCGTAAACACTCTAGAAGGCACAATTCTTGACAGATTTTGACGAAACTTGGTATGAGTGTTCGTATTCACCTAAGGATAAACCCTATAGAAAAATCAGGGAAATCGAAAAATGTGTAGTATGAATTATTGCCCTTGTTCTTGAAAACGCGTTCAATTTTTAGCTCGTAAACACTCTAGGAGGCACAATTCTTGACAGACTCTACAAGTCACAATTTTTTTGTTCATAATCACAATTTACAATAGATGTCATTATTTTCCTGAGAAACTATTTTGGTTAACAAATAAGAAAATTTAATTTAATCATTTAACATGTCCCTAACCAGCCACCATACATGTACAGCATCATAAGATACTATAAATAGACCAAGTGGAAAATCCAAGACAGATATCCAATCATAGCTTAGTCATGTGACTTGTGATGGCAC